TTTTAATGCCAACTAACTTAACCACTACTCTTACTAGAAATTTTTACAGTAACTCAGAAATCACCAATGCAACTAACTTACCTATTTTTCACATTTATGTATGCTTAATTTAGTCATTGGAATTTAGATAAGCTGTTCAAGTTTATGGGCATTGTTATAACTTGTTGAAAACTAGCTAACTGAATGTATATTATAGTAATAACTCCATATGACAAACTCTTGTACAAATTACAATTGGAATGAAAAAATAAATTAAATATCTTGTACTGCATAATTTTGGATCTCGAATCGATTCATTCGCAGAAGCTCGTTCATAGAGATTTAACAGCGGAAATATTTTGTATCTTGAGTTGTAATACCATATCTTGGACTTTTAAAAAAGTAAAAGAAGAAAAATTTTGTAAAATTCTGCCACTAAGATTAATCATATACTAACATCAAATATTTATAGTTTTAGAATTATTGTGGCAGAAATTTCTACTGGGCAAAGAGCATTTGATGGGGTTCTGTTTAATAGTGATCTTGTCTCAGAAATTATTGGTAAACCTAGACCTAAATATATAGGTTCTAATTTTTATATTAAATTAGCTACAAAATTTATAGATAAAGACTTTGATAAATGATCTACTGCAACAGAAATTATTGAAATAATCACTTGTTGGTTAAACAAAATGGATCAAGAAGCAATGAAAATAAGGTATCGATGATTATATTAAAAAATTTCAACTTAAAATTTTTTTTAATAACAATTTTTAGCAGGCTTCAAAAACCATTTGAGTGACTTCTTCCAGCCCTATAGTAAAATACACCTTTTTTTAGTATCTCTATTTCAGAAATTTCTACCGAGCAAAGAGTATTTGATGGAGTTCAGTTTAATGGTGATCTTGTATCAAGAACAATCGGTAAATCTAGACCTAAATGTTTAGGTCCTGATTTTTATATTAAATTAGCTATGAAATCTATGGATAAAAACTTTGATAAACAACCTACTGCAAAAGAAATTATTGAAATAATCACTTGTTGGTTAAAAGAAATGGATCAAGAAGCTAATAACACAATGAAAATATAGTATCGATGATTGTATTAAAATAATTTCAACTTAAATTTTTTTTTTTGATAACAATTTTCAGCAGGCTTCAAAAATCATTCAAATGACTTCTTCTAGCCCTATGGTAAAATCCAACTTTTTTAGTATCTCTATTTCAGAAATTTCTACCAGGCAAAGAGCATTTGATAGAGTTCCATTTAATGGTGATCTTGTATCAAGAACAATCAGTAAACCTAGACCTAAATATTTAGGTCCTGATTTTTATATTAAATTAGCTATGAAATCTATGAATAAAGACTTTGATAAATGATTTACTGCAAGAGAAATTATTGAAATAATCACTCGTTGGTTAAAAGAAAGAGATCAAGAAGCTAATAACACAATAAAAATAAGGTATTGATAATTGTATTAAAAAAATTTCAAATTTTTTTTTTTTTTGATAACAATTTTCAGCAGGCTTCAAAAACTATTTGAGTGACTTCTTCTAGCTCTATGGTAAAATTCAACTTTTTTAGTATCTCTATTTCAGAATTTTCTACTAGGCAAAGAGCATTTGATGGAGTTTCGTTTAATGGTGATCTTGTATCAAGAACAATCGGTATACCTAGACCTAAATATGTAGGTTTTGATTTTTATATTAAATTAGCTATAAATCTATAGATAAAGACTTTGGTAAACAACCTTCTACAACAGAAATTATTGAAATAATCACTTGTTAGTTAAGCGAAATGGATCAAAAAGCAATGAAAATAAGTTATTGATAGAAATTTTAACTTAAAATTTTTTTTGATAACAATTTTCAGCAGGCTTTAAAAACTATTCGAGTGACTTCTTTTAGCCTTATAGTAAAATATACTTTTTTTTAGTATCTCTATTTCAGAAATTTCTATCGGGCAAAGAGCATTTGATAGAGTTCCGTTTAATAGTGATCTTGTATCAAGAACAATCAGTAAACCTAGACCTAAATGTTTAGCTCCTAATTTTTATATTAAATTAGCTATAAAATCTATAGATAAAGACTTTGATAAACGACCTACTACAAAAGAAATTATTAAAATAATCACTCGTTGGTTAAACGAAATGAATCAAGAAGCAATGAAAATAAGGTATCGATGGAAATTTCAACTTAAATTTTTTTTTTGATAACAATTTTCAGCACAAGTTGAATAAAGGCAAATCGGGCTCCAATGGGCATAAAATAATCTTGATAACCTTATTTAAAAAATAGATATCTGACAGAAATAGGGAATATTAATCTGGTTCATATAGATGTTTAATATATATTAAGATATCGACAACTTTATAAATAAATCAATAAAGCTTGCCTAATAGCTTTATCGATTTATCTATAGAGCTATTGGCATTCTGATATATATTAAACGCCTATATGAACCAGATTAGTATTTTAAAGATCTCTTATTTTCACCAAATATCTGTTTCATATTAGGATTATGCTATACCTATTGGAGCCTGATTTGCCTTCATTCAACCTATAGAAGTTATTTAGACAAATGATTGAATTTTTTTAGACCTACTTGCTGAATTTGAATGCAATAGTAAATAAGTATTAATGTAATAGTACTTTGGTTAAAAATAGAATTGGTATTAGAATCGGGTAGTAATGGTACTTTGGTAAAAATAAAATTAGCGGTTAGAATTAGTGTATTGGTATGAATAGTGTTAGTGTTTATTTTAGAGTTAGAAAAATAAAATATATTAAATAATAAACTTAACTGTTTATAATTTAAATGATTAATATTAAATAAATTTTAATTTTTTACATTAATTAATACAAATTGAAAGTATATAATAATAAAAAATATGCTAGAATTAGTGTATGCATTAATAATATTTAAAAATAAAAAATATTGATATATATAAAATAAATATACTTAGCTATAAATATTTATTATCTCATAATTATATATAAATCTTTAGTTACATATTTAAAAAAATTAACAAAAAGCAATAAATAAAAAAAAAACTAAGTAAATAATAAATAATAAAAAATAAATTATTTAATAAAAAATAAAAGTAAAATAAATAAATAAATAAAATAAAACTAAAAAATAAACTTTATATATATATTTTTTTATTATTAAAATTTTATTTTACTTTATACAATAAGAAAATAACTATTATTAACCAGGGGGAAATCCCTCTCCTTAGTTATTTTTAGGGTTAGGGTTAGAAATTAAAAAATTATTTTTTTTTTATATAAAATAATATAGAGCTACTATAAGAGCCTGATCTCAGTTCTCATGAGGTTTTTGGAGATCCTGAACATTTTTACTTAGAGGACCCGATCCTGTTTACTTAGTACGTTATCGAGATACAGCACCCCCAGGGAATTTGCCCCAGTTAAGATTAGCAATTCTCTATACAATATACAGTATTTATTATATATTAATAATATTGTTATAATTTAAATTATAGTTTATATAGTATAATAATTTAATTTTATTAAAGATTTATTACTCTAGACTTATACTAATTTCTGGTTTCTATTATATATAGATATAAAGTTTTATATTATACAATAAGTATTAAAATTTTAATACTTTTATTTCTTATTCCTAATAATAGCTAATTATTTATTATTTATAAAAAGTTTATACTTCAGATGCATACCGGTTTCTGGTTCCTAGTATATATATACAGTATATATATTTTTTGGTGTTAAGATGACCTTATTAGTCTAAAAAACTTTTTATTAAAGTATAAACAATATTTTATATTATAATTACAATAATAGTAAAAAAAACTCTTTTTAATAATCACTTGGACCAAATTTTTTAACAAAAAGAAATGCTTTTTTTTTATACTAAAAAGTCATAATATTCTGTAGTAAGATGACAATAAAGTAGTTTTTATAAAGATTAACTTTCTTTACTTCTCAGAACTCCTTTATATATTTGACATACAAGCCAAAAGTGTCAGTATGCAAGATAACTAGCAGAGGGTAGTGTTTTTATATATGAAATTTTGGTAAATAGATAGAGATAATAACAAGTCCAAGCCTTTTGTTGATGAAGCTTGCTATTATATAACAACTAGAGAACAGTAAAAAAAGGCATCTTTTAAGCTATATTTCTTTTTTTAGTTAAGTGGTTTTTATTATATCTTCTTTCTGCTTTTCTGTCTTTCTTTAAAAAAAGTGATTTGGCTTATCTCCTTTAAAAGATTAGCATTTTTACTTTCCAATATAGAAGAACACAACTATATGTTTATGAATATGGTATTACTATATAGAACTAGGCTTTAGTACAAAACCCTAATAATAGCAGCAAGTGGTTTGAGATACAGGTTTACAGACAGTAGCAGCACCTAGCTAGAGATACAAATTAGGATGAGCTCGAATAAAGTCATTTGGAGTTAATTGAAAGGTTAAAAAGAAAAATTTAATGTTAAAGTAAAGTTTTACAATAGAGATATACAAATATTGTATTTGTTATATAATTTTTATGTTCTAAGTTTAAATAATCAATAAAGTAATTTAAAAAAATATATAATTATATATTTTTTTAGATGCTAGACTCATTTATAAAAAAATTAAAATAAATTATTTTAATAAAATTTTGAGTAATTTTAATTTGAAAAAATGTTTAAAATTGTTCCATATATACTGTAATACTATAATAGTATATTTACAAAAACTCTTTTCCGAACCTCTGAAATCTATAAATAAACAAAAAATGGAAAACAAAGTTTTGACAAAACCAATATAAAATAAGCCCAGCACCGAAAAGTTGCAATTAAGTAAAGCTGAACTAACCAACACAACTGTTAACAACAAAAGAAACTACTATACTCTATCCTGTACTGTCTCCTCCAACCTAGAAGGTGTCAACGAACACCAAACCAGTATCGAACAACCACCCAACAAAAGGGTTAGAGGCAACAACATGTCAGACACCCAAGCATACTCCAACAACTAACAACTACTAATATAATGGCTCAAAACCAAACCAACAACCAAGTTAACACCACACAGCCCCTAACCCAATCTGATAAAACCCATAACAACAATGGACATAATCAGGACATGGAAATCAACAAAAACCCTAAGGATACAGCAAACAATCCATTGTCATCAAAACAACAACCCAAGCCAGCAAGTACCCGAGTTGAAGTTCCCATGCCAAGTAACACGGTTAAGGAAGATCAAATGATCATCGATAACCTGATTATCCTAATCAAATCTAATCTAAGTAACCAGACCAATACTGTAGACCCTAAAATCAAAGAGCTAGTAAAACAAGTACCAAAGTCTGACTCAATTTGCCATGACACGTGGAACGCTTGTATAAATAAACAAAGAGTCTCTTATAGTCAGGTAGCTGCAAGATCAACAAACAATTACAGCAACCAACCAGAACAACTTTGGCTAACTGAAATATCTAACAAGTTAGAGAAAAAGAAAAAACAAGCATTTGACTATAAACTTTGAAACAATAACAAAGTCATCCAAGCACTCAACGATGATGTATTATTTGAACGGCTAATAGAACACAAGGTACAAATAGCAACACCACTCATCAACATATCTACTGCAATAGCAAATAAGCTAAAATATCAGGACACAGCATTCTTCAGATCTTTCTTTCGAGATAAAAGCACTCAACCGGATCACCAAAAAGAATTTAACTCCCTCATGAATATTGTGATTGAAAAATTCAAGCGGAAAAACAACGTTATGTTAGTCAACAAAAACAACCGAGACCAAATATATGATAAACTTCGAAAGAAGATAGCCATTGACACAATTCTATCCCTGAACCTAACATTGCTAGGAAATCATACTAGCACCCAACATATCTACTATTTAATGAATTTTGGCCAAATCGAAACAAAAATGACATTTGAACAAGCCCGCAAAACCATTGGCCAACTGCAAACTGCTAGTCACTTAGAACTCCCAGTCAAACCAGAGGAGATTCCAATAGACATAGCTAAAATTATACCTTTCGCTTTACCCCTTGAAGATAACACTCGAACGGCAGCGATAGTTAAGGCATTGAGACTCATCTTCAATTTCAGTCAATTACCTGATTCATACTTTGTAACGGTTCAAATTGCCCTACCACACAACCCAAATGAACTAAAAGTAATGAGATATATTTCCAATCAAAGATTGTAGCAGACTACCCTACCTTGCAGAATACAGAAGAGAACTTCGCAAACTATACATACTTGAGGAAAAGCTTCCCTCACCATACTTCGATCTACCTCCAGAAAAAATTGACCTTCCTTCCACCCCCAAGCATTACATGCAGAATTTAGGCACTTGTTTCTTTGCAAACCAAAAAATGAAAGCGAATTCAAAAGCTTAGTAGAAAAACTACAAAGAGTTTACAGATTCAAAAGATTACCAAGCAACTATATAATCAACAAGAAACAACTTCCAGTCAAATCTTCACAACTAAAAACAACAAGAAGCTACAACTTCCCAATCATTGACAAAACTAGCACACTGCAATTTATTGCAGAGATAGAAGAGAATTACAGAATACCAGAAACCCTACTGATAAACTACGTCCAAGTTAACTACACTAACAAGCCAAACTTACCCCAAGATTACACATGGATACTACACATGAATCTGACCATACCAATCACAACACCGAAACAACTCATAGACATAGCTAGAGAGCTTCGTAATCACTACTTTTTTAGACAACTATCTACAGAATGGATTGACATACCTAAAAAGGATAAAGCAAACATATCAAGCGATCAAAAACCACCGATATCTGCAAATATCAATGACCTTTAACAACAGTTAGCTATGTTAGATCCCAATCTAAAACTACAATTATCTATCAAAGACTACAAGGAAATTGAATCCACTTTGGACAGCATTAGCACGTATTTCAATATTACCACTACACCAACTTATATACATAACCTCTCAGATCTACCTGCACCGGACTGGGATATCGTCGATAATTACGCATCTATTACCTAATGGTCGAGACAAATGATGTAGCCAACTCACTGTTGAAAGATATCTATACAACATACGAACATACTAATTTAGCAGATTCAAGTTCTGTACATATACAAACCCCACAAACCCAATGTCAGGGACCCAATCATATTAACCCAAATTCGAATAATTCCATGCAGGGAAAAAATATAAACACAAGTCTAGGTTTTGCAGTCCACAATGTGCAAGAAATCAATGTTAATCTCAAACTAAACACATGGCTTCATTACTGTTCAGCCCAAGACATTGAAACTAAACTTTCGGCAGATTATACCCATCTTTTAAGTCTAACCAACCCTTGGTACAAAATTTATATGGCAAACTGTGATGACTACAACTCTACGCTACATCAATCTGTCAAAGAAGTAGCTGTAGCAATTAAGCCTAATCTTCAACCATATTTCCACAACATAAAAGCCATACCGGGTCATGCCTTACTAATTGACTTTTTTTTTCCTAACCGCAACAAAACACAAATTATTGCAATTTACATACCTTCAGGCAATTCGAGTACAACAAACTTTGCACAGCAAACCATTATCCAATGGATTCAGCAGGCCCGATCTCTCAACTACAACACTATTGTAGCGGGCGACTTCAACTCAAACGTCAACAAGAAAAACCTGTCAACCTTAATTACACATCTAAATACATCCAATTTAATTAGTTTGTTACAACTCTATAGTATAGATGACCCTACGTAGAGTAATCAAAGCATATCTAGTCAAATTGATGACATATGGACTAACCAAGAAATAGTACTGGACTTCGATCAACCACTATTATGATCATCAGCCTCTTCAATTAACAGTAATCATAAAATAATCCACTCATGCTGGCACCTCCATAATAATATAACAATACCACGCCAACGAAGAACACGACACAAAATATACAACTATGCAAATACTAATAAAGAGAAGTGGCAAGAATTCAAAGACCAGATTGAATTATATACACGACAATCATCAACAACCTATAAGCAAATAACTAACCAACAATCACTTAACAAAGCTTGGAACAACATGCAACAAATTATTAAGCAGTCAGCTAATAAGCATATTAGATACAACATAATCGGTTCAAGAACATTCAAACTATTCTCTTACCAAGCAACAAAACTCCACAAGCAGTTCAAACAAATAAATAAAGTAATTACTTCATTGTCTTAATTTACCCCACTATCAATACCATACCTAGTAGACAATACAAATCAAATATTACAAACATCAAATCAGCAAACATGGTAATTAGGCAGATATCCACTGATGAATTAGCTTCTTCAAACTTTACCTGAACGATAACAGCACTTAAAAAACTATGCAAAGCCCTCTACACGGCATGAAACACAGAAAATCAGCAACAACAAAGACAATCGATCCATAATCATATCATCAAACGACAACAGAACTTTCAAGACAATACCGGCAAAATGATTAGCAGTATACTTAAACGCCAACAACAACATGTCAGTTCAACTAACGTAACACTAATAGCAGAAGTCATCACAAATCCTATATGCATTAAACAGGCAACAGTGGAACACTTTGAATGTTGGACTGACTACAATCCATCCAACTGGAACTTATAGCCACTGTGGCAACAATACTATCAACCCATTAGCTCAATTAACCTAGCAGTTTATAATCCACTAATACAACCTATCACAATCACAGAACTAGTAGAAACCATACAACAATCACCGATATCAAAAGCCCCAGGACCTTCACTCATCTCCAATGAAATGCTAAAACATCTACCTGAAATAGCCTTATCAAATATTTTAAACATTCTCAATGCATGTTTACACCTAAAAATTATCCCAACAGCCTGGACTAAAGGATTAGTTTGGCCGATTACAAAAAATGGATATACAGATGGAAACCTCACGAGGACCCGACCCATAGCCCTAATCGAGCATATGAGGAAAATCTTTATGAAAATAATAACCAACCGAATCAACCAAATCTTAGTCAAGGCTAACGTTCTATCTGAATGTAATAGTGTCGCATTACCTGGAACTTCAACAGCCCAACCTATAAACCAACTCACCCACATTAGAGAAGATGTCTATACAAATAATAAAGAACTATGGATTTTAGCACAAGACACTTTAAAAGCATATGATACCGTCCATATTCCCTTACTCATCAAATCCTTAGAAAGATTACGCATCTCTACACAAATCATTCAACTATTAACTAACATTCTATCTCACAGAACTAACCAAGTCATTACTAGCATAGGAAGAACAGCAGCCTACCTAGTACATGACGGATTAGATCAAGGCGAAATGATATCACTCATACTTTGGAGAATTTATTATGATCCACTTATCTCGCAGATCGAGAAAGAAACCTAAGGATATACCATGACTGTCACACACTCTCAAACAAACCTCGTCTTAACATTAAACACAGCAGTAATTGTGACACAACTTGAATTGCGTCCAATCGAACCCAACTCAAAAATACCTTACATATCACAAACTCCTTCTACAAATTCGCAAACATCACTGTCAATCCAAATAAATCGGTACTAATGCATAACAATTTCACAGACAAACAATCTATTTTATTCCAAGATCAACGAATTGCTAATATCGGAAAAAACAAAACACTTAGATTTCTGGGAATATACATCGACTATACACTATCAAACTCAGTAGTTGTAAAACAGATAATATGTACCTTTAATCAATAGCTGAACAAGCTACGACATGCACATATAACTAAAAAACAAGCTATTTACATTATTAACGTAGTTCTCTTAGTGCAAATCAGATACCAGTTACAAAACACAATTTTAACACCGCATAAGTGTAAACAACTCACAACAAGATATATTAGTACCGTCAAACAAAAGGCTTCATTGGCAAGAGGAGTATCTAATTCCACACTGACAAATCCATACATTTATGGACTATTAGGCCTAACACAAATTCAGACGACAAGTCAGATAATATCATTATCAAATCAGCTCAACGAAATGAACAAGTTATTTAAAATTCACATTCAACAATTACAGAATAGTACAAAATCAAATATATCAATCCTTTTTAAATTAGCCGTGTTGATCTCAAAGCAGCATTCTACCTATACTAATCAATTAATAGTTACCGCTTATAGTATGAACTTAACCTTTACAGAACCACCTAACGGCTGGCCACATACACAATAACATTCCCTGGTACTTCAATAAATGAATTGCTATACCAATCTCCACACAACATGAAAATCAAAGACTGTCTTAACAAACACAATATCGTAGCAACAGAACAATTTCTGAATATAGATAGAACAGGGTTTGTTACATAGAATAAATTCTACTATAATATTCAAAAAATACTAAGAGGAAGGATATCAAAATGGTACAATTATATACAGACCTTAATAGAAGCACAATTATCACCGACTACAACATTCCCCGAAGTTAACCCCTACACTTGGCAGCCAGTAATACTAAATTACAGAAACAAATGGGTTATAATATCACAAAGATTGATAGAAAAAATGAGAAAGCTGAACAACCAACACACTACTATACAACACTGAAAACTAAATAATAGTAACAACAGTCTTTTCAAATGCCAGAGATGTAATCATCGAAACACGAACTCTAAGTACTGTCAAATCAAAATAAATATGAACCAAGCTTTTATAATCAAAGTTGACAAGAAGAAAAAGTGGCATGGCAATATCAATCAGTTCCAACTACCACAGCTATGCATTAAACTTAGCAAAACACAACAAAGCTATGTACCTAAACATCTAGAACTAAGCTTCAACATTACTCAGGCATTTGATAATATAGGCGGAGAGTTATGGAAACTAGCTTAATCAGCGACCTTACCATCAACAGCTGAGATTTTAATTACTACTATAAATCTAGAAGGCCCCACACCGGTTGCAATCATTATATTTAATAACAATATCATCCAAATTCGAAATATATACTGGCAAAAACCAAAGAAGATAGCAATTATCATGCTAATCATATTAGTAACAATATGCAATAAAAACTCGAATCTAACAATTAATACCAACTCAAAAAGCATAATCAATTTCGTGGTGCAAATCAAACAACACCTCAAACGAGTAAATATCAAGAAAGAAACATACTTGCAATTCTTAACTATACTTTATAGGTTAACTGAATCGAAAAATATCAGCATAGATACAAAACTTGGAACTAGAATTAAAAGATCGAATGATATACCAATTCTTTCAACCGAATTTAATACAAAACCATTTCTAAACAAATACTATCTACCAGAAATTTATAGATACCCAATATATATACCTCTCAAACTATTACTTAAAGACTTATTTAAAGTGATGAATGTTGACTGTTGGACGTTACAAAATAGAATACACCAATGGAGAACTACTACTAATCCAATCAATTGGCAACTTACCTTCGATTCAATAAACTGGGAAGACAAAGTCAATTGACGTTTTACCAACACAGCAATGTCGAAATTAAAAAATTTCAAGATTAAAATCCTAACTAATGAATTGCCCAATTGTCAAATCTTATTTCAATGCAACTCAACTACTGTAACGTCACCAGCATGTCTGAGATGCACGTACCATGAAGAAGATAATCAACATTAGATAACATGCCTGGCTAACCCAACATCTCTCAATTCTATAATTCTATCAGTGTTAAACGATACAATACGGAAATTCGAACTAAATCTACCAAATACTAATAATTTTATAAATAGATTTATGAAAACACATATTGAAGAATGGCTACCAATAGGGTTCATTACTAATGCTACTACACTACCGACATTGAAAAAAGAAGCAACAGTGAAATTACACCATGATATCATAAACAAAGTCTATGAAGAGACATGGAAACCAAGTAGAGTAATACAACATCAAGTTACTAACTCTTTAACTCAATCACAAATACAGACACCAAGTAATAGAAATCAATACTGCAATTACCTAGAAACACTCCATTGGATCAAACATTATGTTATAAACAATTACAACCCCATTAACATTAATAACATAGTCTAGAGATTCTTGGACCAATCTAGCTTAGATTAGGTCCAGAGTAAATTAGCTTTATCTTCCATCCACAAATAGTATAGTCTAGATCAGTGTTGTAATTACATGTAATATTTGGCATAACTATAATAAAGGATATGAGGAAAAGACCTCTCTAAAAAAAAAAAAAAAAAAAAAAAAAATAGTATATTTACTATAAATTGTTTTTTTTTTTCTTCTGCTTTTTTTTCTTTCTTTTATTATATTTTCTTGTTTGTATTATTTGTCAATTAATATTAATAGTTTTTTTCATAAAATTTCATACAAACTAAACATGTTGAACAAGCATTTGAACGAAAATTTAAAATTGTTGTCATAATTGTTATAATATCATAAAATGATCATTATGATACTAAAATAGCTTTTATTAATTATTTTATTATACTAATTATACTAAAATCAATAACTTATTGAATTTGGCTGAAATTATTATTGGCAAATATTTTTTTTAGGTGTCCCAGAATTTATGAAAACAGCTATAAGCTTTTTGATGAAGTAATTGTCAGTGAGTTGTATTGTCAACAAAATAAACTTTTCAGCAAATTAATTTTGTCGATAAATTAATTGTCAGTGAATTAATTGTCAGTGAATTTAGTGTCAATGAAATAAACTTTTTAGTGAATTAAGTTTGTTAGCAAAATAATTGTTGGTGAATTTAGTGTTGACAAAATAACCATATTGGTAAGGCAATTTTGATGAAGTGTTGTTTCTACAAAAAGTGTATTGATAAAGTAATATATATCCTTATTTTTTATATAGCTTATTAAACTTTTAGCCAAATTATTTTTATATAACTTATTAAACCTTCGATCAAATTATTTTTCTATATAATATTAAATTATTTTTTTATATAAAACTAGATGTTTTTTTTTCAAAATTTACTGTATAAATTCGTATACAATCTGAGAAAATAAATATAATATCTCCATTTTCAAACACTTTATTTTTTATTTTTTATTTTTTTTATGTTGCCAACATAAAAACTTTATTTTTATTAAAGGCTTTTCTCTAACGTATATACAGTTTCTAATTATATTTGTGCTACTATTACTAGTCACCCAATGTGGCATTATACTCCTTAATTTCCCTATATTACTTTTCCATTAACTATTTCAAGCCAACTTCAAGCTAGGGTCAGTTGGAGCAACCTACTATTACACATCCCACTCATGTAATTATTTTTCTGTAATTTTCCTTTCAATTAGTACATATTGACTGCCGCTATTGTATTCGTATCTCATGCCACCTTTTGGAGTGTGGCCATAACACAATCTGTATCTTAATTTCAATCTTCCTAATTAGTCCTCAATTACGTATTATATTATAAGATTTTCTATTGTTACCTATTTTCATACTTATTACACTCACCTATCTACTTCTTGCAGCAACCTTATAATTCTCCCAAATTGGTTCATTCTGGTGGTTTTTTACTCTTCTTGCTCCCATATTGGTGTATATAGCCCTCCATATATTGGTACTATACGGCATGGCTAGATTTATCGAATCTCTAGTTGTTATCTGCAGTGTACCACCTACTTTATACAATGCTTCCATAGTTGGTATGATTAGTGTTCAAAGACAAGCCGGCTTATCACGGCTTACTGCGGCTTAATGTGGCTTATCACGTAATAAATTCGAATTTATCACCAAGCCATGTGATAATCGTGAAAATATCACGTGACAAATTCGAAGATATCGCATGGCTTGGTGATAAATTCGAATTTGTCATGTGATAAGCCACATTAAGCCGCAGCAAGCTGTGATAAGCTGGCTTATCTTTAAACACTAGGTATGATTGACTTGTAGTATGAGCACCGAAGCTTCCTATTATAACTATGTTATATGGGTATACTACTGACGATCATTTTACTTCTAGCTTGGTGATGCAAAGGCACCTGGAACCTTGACTTATAGCGCATCAGTATAGCACTTATCATCGATATGATATACAGTGTTTTCCTTATTAGTTTTCCAATTTTCAATCTTGTATGCTAGAAGTGTTCTTTTATTTGGTAAAGCCATCCTCTTACCACAGCCTCTTACTGTATTTACCGCTTCTCTCACCACTTCCAGATATGCTGCATTTAGCCATCCTCCCAATCAAGATCCCCAAGACCGCCTTAGGGTTGTTGGTATTACCTAACCAATCGAGGATTTATATGCACAGCCTTATGTGGTATTACTTTCTGTGATGCCATGTCACACATAGTGCCCAGTCTTCTCTACGGCTCGGGACTCTTTCCAAGAATTCTTTATAGGCCAAAT